GCACTATACAAATAAAACTGAATTGAATTGAAGTATTACTGCAGTATGTTAAAGTAACACATTTCCGATGACTCTCAGAAGAAAAAATAAAATGAAAATGTTGCTGATAAACAAAAGACATACAAATGAAATTCTTGTACATTGATCAGAACCTTAAAAAAGATTTCCCTTGTGTTTTTTGACACCAAAGAAAGTAAGATAGTGCCTGTGATATGATGGAATTAACTGTAAATTAAATTATGGTGAAGTTTAGTACAGCAGTCTACAATGAATGTATGTGATAGGAAGCAATCACATACATTACTCTGCAACAGCCCCAATCCTACACAGTACTGGTTAGATGCTATCGCTGCAGTACTGTATAATATGGGGCTATTGCAGAATAATGTATGTGACAGCTTCCTAGGTCTGGCTAAATAAAATAAAGAATGTGAAAAAGCACTCAATGTCAGCGCTACTGTGGCTGCTACTATAATCGTCTCAATAGCAAACCTGCAAGCAAAAGCATAAAGGAACACTGAAGAACCTTTCTGGGTTTCCTTCGGGATCTTCTTGTTATGTTCTAGCTTTTAGTAACTTTTTAATGTTTAAAGAGCTTAGCTTGTAATGTTAGTGCATGCTTCCTCTTATTTGCATCTTTAGGTTTGAATACAAGGCAAATTAATTTTCCCTTGGTTTAACTTCTGAGTCCTGATGCATTTACTATTTATACTGTGATAGTTTAGATCAGTGGATTTCCTCCAGAGCTTAATCAGTGCTTTGTGGTGGTGTAAAAGATATCCAGGATTGATTATTTGCTTTACCCGTGGACCAACTTTGTTTGCAGCTCAGGCTAGTAATACAACAATTTGATTTCTTCTTTTAGTTTAAATGTTTAGTGAAGCTGAAGAGTGATTGCAGTCATTTCTTGACCACGGCAGCCCTCTGCTACGTGCAAGCTGTCCCTGAGACAATCCAGCAGATAACTGTTGGCCACTTGGTTTTGACGTTCCATCTATGCCTGCATCCTAGCATCTTGCACTCTGCTGTTATGTTTTTTTATTTTTTAATATCAGCCACTTCTTGCTCCCCTTCTGCTTATTATCCGTGCAGGGTCCACTATGTAGGGCAGTGGGTGTAGGGCCTAACAGAGTAAATGGTAATGGCATGGCCTGTACTTGTATAGCGCTTTACTTAGTCCCTAAGGACCCCAAAGCGCTTTACACATTCAGTAATCCACCCATACATTCACACACTGGTGATGGCAAGCTACATTGTAGCTGGGGCGCACTGACAGAGGCGAGGCTGCTGGGCACTGGCACCACCGGGCCCTCTGTCTTGCCCAAGGACACAACGACCGAGACTGTCGGAGCCGGGGCTCGAACCGGCAACCTTCCGATTACAAGACGAACTGCCAACTCTTGAGCCACGATCGCCCCAGAGGATGTTGCTTGGAGGATGAAGTCTGTTTCTGTTTCTGTCTCTATGGCCAATCCTTCTGATTAGTTAGGGCACACCAGGAGAGATTCACAGGTAACAATGATGCTGCCAGCTGATCCTGCACAGTCAACCCGATAGCAGTACTAACCTAGAGAGACTAGCATTGTGCATGTCTGTACGAGGTGGGTCACACCACAGTTTCTAGCTTTTCCGAACACTATCAATATCACTGGATGACTTTTCATTGATTGGACTCGGTGCTCTGAGGCTCTGAAGCACATGCTATGCATCATGTTCCCATTTCACCTTATTTGGCTGTGCAGTCAACTAATAACACGATCAAACTAAGACACATTAAAAAGAGATAAAATTCGAGTTTTACGTATGTTTTTAGATTTTATGTCTGAGTAAGTTTAATGAGATAGCAGCAGTGACTGGTGATATAAATTGGGAGATGGGGAATGGTATCTGATAGTGAGGAGTAGTAGCAGCGATGCCAAGTAAGGGTTAAAGAAGTGATGGATTAGTCTATAATAACTAATAACTACAATATTTTTTAGGTCATGACAGTATATGCAGCCATTAACTGTTACTCATGATTTGTCTTGATGTGATGAAATGTTCGCAAATGAATGAGAAATCATCTGTCATTCATAAATGAAATGTTTTGTAGGATTTGAAATTTTTTTTACTAACTATTAAAATTGAGCTGAAGCAACTGACAGCAGCACAGTGTCCGAGAAACTGAATCTTGCAGGATGTTCTGGCCTTGCGTCGCATAGTTGTTCCAGTTTCTCCTCTCTGCTGTGCACTTTGTCATCAGCTGTGGGAGTTCTCCTTCTCCTTTTCCTCATTAGATTTTTGGTGATGTATGCAAAAAGTGGCTTTCTGATTACAATGTGCTGCTTTGAATATACATAAGAACGCACGTGCACAGTGGAAGTGTAATAAGTAGCTGCTTGTTACGGTCATGCCTGCTCGGCAGCTCACCACAAAAACCACACAGGTTTCATGTGCATGCAGTTATCAGCATGTTTTCTTAAAGTTCAGTGAGGCATATTTTGAAACCCTCCTCTTCTTGCTTGTTTATTACATTCATATTAGTGATAAAATGCAGTCTTTTTTTTCAGGGTCAGGTCAGACTCAGGTTAAGCTTTTCTGAAGAGTTTCGGTTGAGGATGTGGTCTTGAGAAAATTTGACAAACTTTGATTTTAACACAGGAAATCAAGAGCGTGTGTTAACTCTGTTTGTACCCTTCACTGATTTTTGATTTTCCTCCACCCTTCCTCTCTCGATGACTGTAAGCGTGAAGCTCACCACCGTGCAGAGTAACATCCTGAACCCTCGATTTACCAGCAGGTGATCAAAGAGAAATGTCCCAACCCAAAACCGAGCCCCTCTCAAGTTAAAGGAAGTGGAGTCCTCTAAATAGCAAAGAAATCCTCGTCGAAGAACTCCTGTGAAACCCCGACACCGTCTCTCACCAGCTTGGATGAACTCAAACAACTTTAGCGAGCCCAAACATACATACAGGGAGTGCAGAATTATTAGGCAAGTTGTATTTTTGAGGAATAATTTTATTATTGAACAACAACCATGTTCTCAATGAACCCAAAAAACTCATTAATATCAAAGCTGAATGTTTTTGGAAGTAGTTTTCAGTTTGTTTTTAGTTTTAGCTATTTTAGGGGGATATCTGTGTGTGCAGGTGACTATTACTGTGCATAATTATTAGGCAACTTAACAAAAAACAAATATATACCCATTTCAATTATTTATTTTTACCAGTGAAACCAATATAACATCTCCACATTCACAAATATACATTTCTGACATTCAAAAACAAAACAAAAACAAATCAGGACCAATATAGCCACCTTTCTTTGCAAGGACACTCAAAAGCCTGCCATCCATGGATTCTGTCAGTGTTTTGATCTGTTCACCATCAACATTGCGTGCAGCAGCAACCACAGCCTCCCAGACACTGTTCAGAGAGGTGTACTGTTTTCCCTCCTTGTAAATCTCACATTTGATGATGGACCACAGGTTCTCAATGGGGTTCAGATCAGGTGAACAAGGAGGCCATGTCATTAGTTTTTCTTCTTTTATACCCTTTCTTGCCAGCCACGCTGTGGAGTACTTGGACGCGTGTGATGGAGCATTGTCCTGCATGAAAATCATGTTTTTCTTGAAGGATGCAGACTTCTTCCTGTACCACTGCTTGAAGAAGGTGTCTTCCAGAAACTGGCAGTAGGACTGGGAGTTGAGCTTGACTCCATCCTCAACCCGAAAAGGCCCCACAAGCTCATCTTTGATGATACCAGCCCAAACCAGTACTCCACCTCCACCTTGCTGGCGTCTGAGTCGGACTGGAGCTCTCTGCCCTTTACCAATCCAGCCACGGGCCCATCCATCTGGCCCATCAAGACTCACTCTCATTTCATCAGTCCATAAAACCTTAGAAAAACCAGTCTTGAGATATTTCTTGGCCCAGTCTTGACGTTTCAGCTTGTGTGTCTTGTTCAGTGGTGGTCGTCTTTCAGCCTTTCTTACCTTGGCCATGTCTCTGAGTATTGCACACCTTGTGCTTTTGGGCACTCCAGTGATGTTGCAGCTCTGAAATATGGCCAAACTGGTGGCAAGTGGCAGCTTTCAAGCCTATACAGCTTGGAGTAAGACAACATGCATGAAGAGGATGAAGTGGACAAAATACTCATTTGCCCAATAATTCTGCACTCCCTGTATATATACAGTTACACAGAATTACAATAATTACTCAAAAAATTTACTTAATTACTCCCAGGAGAAAGTAATTAATTTCCATTACTCGTTACATTACTTTCATGTTACTGTAAAATAGCTGAAACGCATTGTCTCAAAATTACCGTTTATCAATACAAACCAACTCACTAGCTGGGCTCACGTCTTCATTTTAGGCGGGCAGCGTGTTTTTTAAGAGATAAAGGCGAATGGCTTAATCAAGAATTGAGCTGGGGTTTGGGGAAGGCCTCAATGGGGACTGGCAGCAGCTCCCAGGCCTGGCAGAGGGGATGGAAGGTGGAGCCCGAACATGAGAACAAACAGCTTGTAGAACTGGGTGGGTGATATATATATAAGACCCAGTAGGGGTGTGTTTGGAGGCGAGGTACCCGCTCCTGAAACACAAATCCCTAGCCTAATCTAGAAGAACTAATTCTTGTAGATTCCCATCCCTACTCCCAGGCTCATAGACAAATGTATAACATTCATTTTGGAATTGAAATATTCCAATATTCCAATTCTTTTCAATTGATTTTTATCTTCTGTGGGTGGCATGAGTCTATTTCTTCAACCTCCTTAGACCCGAACTCTTCCATGGCATGCATTTTTAATTTCTCTTTGATATTTGGGCACGCTGGGCTCTGATGAATGTAAAAACAAAGAATTTCAATCTATACGAGTCTTTTTGGACTGTCAGGAAGACATCATGGACTTATTGGTGTTGCCGCATTTCTGTGGGTTTGGCTACAAACAAGGCATTTTGTTGCCTTGTACCTGTGACATGTGCAATGACAATAAAGTTGAATTCTATTCTATTCTATTCTATTCTATTCTATTCTAATAAAGCATGAACTTTCAAACATTGTGCATGGTTTTATATTTGTAATGCAATAGAGTTGTGGGTATTTTGTGATATTGTCTGATGTAAGCTTTTCAGTTGATTAAAAATAGACGTGCGAGACATTTTGGCAATCTCTTGCTAAATATATGATGACAGTCCTACCTTCTAATAACACATATTTAAGAAATATTAAGGGCCTCAGTTTCAAATTGTGGTCAAGTCAGCCCACACGTGGAGAAGCAACAAGCTCAGTTTGTATCTGAGGCCGTCTCTGCTGCTGCAACAACAGGAAACAACGTCTTCTCCCCTCCTCTCGTCTCACTGCACCCATGTCTTCCTCATTTTTATTTTTTATTTTTTCCATTGTGCTTTAGGAAACACCCCACTTTATAACAGCTGCTGGGGTCCCACACAATGAGGTTTATCAAACCAGTCGACAGCTGAGGCTGGTTCTGTTATAAGAGTGTGCGATCTACTGGTTGAATAAAATCTTTGTCAAATTTTGTGCGACGGTAGCTATTAGTAGAAGCTCGAGCTAATTCAGTTTTGGTTGTTACACCAAAAATGAAAATTAGTCAAAACATTATATTATCAGTCATCAAATTTCACAACATTAAACAAGGTAAGATTGCAAGGCCTGCGAGTATAACATATCACATGAAAGGACATGGAGAAAGCTTGCCCTTTGGTGCAGGGGTTGCTCTCTGTAAGTATTCTTGTTATGGCTGAGCTCAGCTCCTGAAAAACAAGCTCCAGTAGCAACTGACTCTGCAGAAAGTTGGCAACTTCTGCCTCGGATCCGTTTACCCCACTCTGTGGCTTTACAACTGTTCATAGCTGCAGTGCTGTCGTTCCCAATCACTTCCATTTTGTTATAATTCTGTTCCAAGCTGGAATTCACTGAGTTCCTGAGAGTGACCCATTGTTTCACAAATGTTTGTAGAAGCAGTCTGCATGCCTAGGTGCTTCATTTTATACACCTGTGGCCTTTGGAGTAACTGGAACACATGAATACAATGAATTGGAAAGCTGAGAGAAGACTCTGCAATATAGTGTAGGTCAGAGTCGCTAACAAACAAATAAGCAAATTAAAAAAGAAGAATTCGTGGTCAATGAAAATGATCTGTACTGGACTGAAAGTGGATGAAAAAGCAGCCACTGTCCAAAGAATTTCCTCTTCTTTCTTTTTTTTGACTTGTGTTTTACACCCAGAAAGCCGGGAGAACTATTCCACTAACCGCTTGGTTAGTTTTTACTTCCTTTTGTTTGTGTCTTGAGGTTTGAAGGTGGGGCTAATGAAGTTTCACATAGTTTCATTTTCAATGAATCTAGTTTTGAAGTCCATCTAAGAGTCCTGCCATCTATAATCTCATAATTCTCCCCAGATCTTATTTACTGCTTTGTGGTAGTGGACCAGATGTCTGGGATTCAGTACCTGGCTTACTCGTGGGCTTTTGTCATCACACAGACTGGTTTTGGTAAGTTTTTTTTTTTTTTTTGCACAGCTCAGGCTGGCAGTTTGATCGTTTGCTTTTTTCTGTGAGGCTGAACCGAAAAGTCACTGAATAACTTCTGGGCTAAGCCACTTTTTAAAAGTCCTGATGGATAATCTCTTACATTTGTTATAATATGATGTTAGAATATACACTTTTCACTGCTGTTTACTGCTTATTTATATGTATGTACTGAATGTATACCATTGTATGGTATTTACACAAGCCCAACTTTTTTGAAAATGCGCTTTTAAGTAAACAGAGAGTTAATTTATATAGTCCTTTTCAAGATGAGGAACAGTTACAAAGTGTTTTGCATAGGTATCAGTAAAAATCACTCAGGAAAGCGAAATGAACACACACAAACTGTGCAAAAGGTCACAAAACACAACCACAACCCAAATTTCTATTGAACAAAAGTTTTAAGCTACTTTTCAAAAGAGGCCACACAGTCACGGGTGCAAAGCGTGAGTGGTAAGTTGTTCTAAAGTTCTTGACTGAAGTTTCGTCCCTGTATGTAGAATCACAAGAAGGACCCTATCTGAGGGCCTAAGAACCCAGCTAGCTTTGGTCAGACGAGTAATAAAAAAGCGAGAGGAGATTAAAACAGATAAATTACAAATATATTTGGGCTAAAAATAAATCACGTGTGGTTCTTCTCTGTTTATGATGCCTTTCTTTTTTTTTTCCTTTTTTAAAATTTTCATCAAGTTTGCAGTGAGATTCACTTCTTGAAGCAGTATGAGGGTGAATCCGTTGTTCTTCCCTGTGAGATTGAACAGAGGTACCCAGCGCCCCTGGGAGTCTCACTCAAACGATCCTGGCTGGTTGAAGAAGAAGTGCTGTTCAAGTACACCAAGGAAGACTTTACAGTTAAAAATTCTGCTGACAAAAGCCGCATTCGCGTCAGGGGAGACCCGAGCCTTCATTCTGTGAATATCACCATCTCTCAGCTGAACGCCAGCGACACAGACCGCTACTACTGCGAGTTTGTCGTGGAAAATCTTTCCTCTGCAGATGACCGCATACGTGGAAAGATGGAATTCTTCCTCCTTGTTGGTGCTGGTGAGTGCAATTTTGTTTTTTATTCAAACTAGAGGGTTTTTTTTGTTTATTTCCAAAACTGTTGAGTATAAAGGCAAAAATCTCTCTACTCTTCTCCAAAGTAAGTATGTGGTGCTGTTGTATTGGGAATTGGACTTGTTTGTCTAGCACATCAAATCAAGTCGACTCGTCAGCTTCGTTGTTGTGCTCATCAAGCCTTTCCTAAACCGTTTTTGCTTTGTGGCAACGGCACTTTATCCTTTTGAAAGAAGCCATAGCCACCAGGGAATATGTCCATGTCCATGAAAAGCTGTACATGGTCTGCAAAACCACTTAGGCAGGTGGCATGTGTCAAAGTAACATCCTCATGGATGCCATGACCCGAGGTTTCCCAGCAGAACATTGCCCAAAGCATCACATCGTCTCTGTCATGTTGCTTTCTTCTAATACTTCATCCTAGTGCCATGTGATGTAAATGAAAACGTGATTCAACAGACCAGGTCACCATCTTCCATTGTGTCCAGTAATGATGCTTTAGTGATTTCAGCAGTCGACAGGGGCACTCTGACTGGTCTACACACAACCAGCATCGACTTTCTTTTTGGCCAGTTTGAGTTATAGTACCCGTCTCTTGGAGTACAAAGCATAAGACGGTGTCTCAAACATCTTGAAAGTTCAGGTCTGATTTTAATTTTTGAGTTGCCCAAGTTTCTTCTCTTTTCATAGATGCAGTTTTTTATCAACTTTTTGCGTAAGAATTTGAAATTAAATATAAATTTGCTCATTAACACACGGTGCCAGATTCATACACACAGCAACAATATCAAAAGATGAATTAAAGTGTGAACCTAGCTTTTTAAAAGTTTAGGAAAAATCCTTACTGTTGGTACCCCTGTCTGTTACTTCACGTTGTTTGCCTTTCCCTCTGGAGATGGAGCTGAGGACAGAGGTCAGCGGACATGGAGGTGACAGAGATGTGTGCCTGGGGTTCAGCCATGCTCCCTTGCCTCCCCAAACATGGAGGAAGGCTTGGCTTGGGAGGGATGACTCTAAAGAGGCAGTCTTTCTCCTCTTTTTAGTTCCCAGAGGGTCCTGGATAACTTTTCATTGATTAGATCAGGTGCTACGGAGCACTTAAAGGCTCTAAAACATAACCCCTGTATTACAACAGCACCATTTGCCTTTTTACAAGTTAGTCTGTGGGCATGTGGACAACTGACGAAACAAAGTCTGTAAATGACATCAAATGAGCCAGTGTTGTATGTGAGAGACAGCTTAAATTAGTAACTGTACAAATACGTCTGGTGACACTGCTGATATAAATGGGGATGTATGACTCATTGTCTCGAATAGTATACAGTAGTCAGGGATTTTTGTATCAGTGATGTGTGAGAGTTAACCTAATTATAAATAATGCAATAGACCTTTTGGATTGTAAAGAAATAAACATTCAATAATTGTTCAAAGATGCACTCGCCATTTTTCTTAATGTTATTACAACATTTTTGCAGATGGCAATAATGAATGAGAAATCACCTGTAACGTATTCACAAGTCAAATGTTTGTGAAGGAGTTTGTGTCGTTTTGAGATTTGGAGTATCAATCAAGAATTGTGCCAACTGTGCAATAAGTATGATGTTAGCACAGGGTCAGAGGTGCTGAACGTCTCTGTCTGGTTCCTCGTAGGATGCTTTGACCTTGTGCCTACAAGTGCTCAGTTTGGTGGCTCCAGTTACTCCTTTCTGGTGTACGCTTTGTCATCAGCTGTGGTTTTTCTCCTTCTGCTCTTCACTGGATTTGTGGTGATTTCTAAAGTGAGTAGCTTTTTATGTGCCACTTTGAATATACATATATACACGAGGCAAGAGGTGGAAATGTGTCACAAGTATTTCCACCTACACTGCCTGTTTGTTGCCGTCAAGATCCTCTGCAGCTAACCACAGAAACCCCCACTGGTTTCAAAACTTTGTGCAGCCAGTTGGCACCTTTGAGTTAAACCCCCTCCTCTTCTAGTTTATTTCAGGTTATTTGAGCGCTAATAAAATGGTATTACAGTCATGTCTGAGTTAGGTTAACACTTCTTCTTAAATTTCCACCGAGGATGCTGCATTGAGAGAAAATGATGCATTTTGATTTCAACACAGGAAATTGTGAGTGTATGTTAATTCTGTCTTTTTTCTCCTCCTTTCACAATGACTGTCAGTGCAAAGGATCTCAGAGTATGAAGTCACATGAAGCCGATGTCTACGAGGAAATGGGTAGGGCAACACCTCCCAGTCAAACACAAGCACCTGCCCATCAGAGGGAAATACCAGAAGCTTCCCAACAAAGTAAACTTCACCTGGGGAACCCCTATGAATTTCAAGAGGTGCTCTCATCAACATCATAAACTAGAGTGTCCAAAAACACTAAACTCCAGTTAGTGTGCAGAATTCTTATATCTTTTAAATCTCCTGCATATTGCTAGACAGCTTGCATTCTGACATTTTTTTTTTTACCTTATTATAAAATAACTTTGGCTGCTTTTGCTGTGATCATAGTGATTAAATGCTCTGTACATTACTGAATTTTATTCTGCACTCCGTTACATATCCGAGTATACATATCCTTTCCAGTTACTTAGCAGTTGTCTCAGATTGGAGTAGATAGTGGTAAGTTGATCCGTTTTAGCAGACAAAGAGCCAAATAATCTGTCAAAGGGCTTCGTTCTGGTGTGCGGTGACTCAATTTAGCAAAAAGCCTGAGTTGACAAAGGAAGTAGATAATCAGTGTTGCAATACTCGTTATCTCTAACTGAGGTTTTGTGAAGACAGACAACACAAAGATATACTGAACTTATCTTGTAGTACATTCACTCACCTTTTTACACGTTAAACTGAACATTTGGGTTATGTAACAGGAAGAAGGAATGAAGAATGCATGGTTACATTGTAACACTGGTTCTTTGAGTAAGTACACTAGCCAGTATAGGTGGAAGTAAGCGGCTACATATGGAATGTGAGTGAGTCTCTTCACTCAGAGAACCAGCATTACAATGTAACCATGCAATAATACAATGTAACATTTTGAAGGAAACCAGTAAGAAAATGTTAATGGAAAATAATCAGACGTGAATTGAATCTGGCGGGGTTTCATCTAAAATGAACACCACACCTGGCCTTGCACCAGTCCAGCACAGAGGGCTGCAAACATCACCACAACACAGAAAACTAAGCAGTTTATCCTAAAGGAAAATGAACAGCACAAAATTATTATATTTCAGTTAGCTCTGAAAAAAAGATAGAAATCTGTACTTGTTGCAGGGAGAAATGGGAGAAATGTTTCATCACTCATCCAACTGATTTCTTCAGTCTCAGTTGACCGCAGGTTTCCCAGCTTTATAAACCGAGCAGTTGCATAACATTCAAAACTAGCATCATTGCCTAACAATAAGCCATAAGATCGGTTTTGCTTTTATTAATTTGAAACTGTCATGACCGTTAGTGTTGTCATCAATATAGTTAAATATTATAAATATAGTTCATGCAAACACTCATGGCAAATTACCTGTTAACAATGAGAAACTGTTGTGGCTCAATTTTTGGCAGTTGTGCTGATTTTGATTGTTTTGCAACTTCATCTACACAACTGTACTCAATCCTATAAACAGTGTTTATAGGATTGAGTACACTTGCGATGAAAGGAAATTCTAACACGAATCAGAAATTTTACCGTCGTTGGGACAAGGTCGGTGAATACTCACTTCTCACCAATTGTGTCATGTGTTAATATGTCATTTTTTTTACATGCTGCATCGTACTGTTTTCTAAATGTGTTTATTTGCTGTGGTTTACTGTAGCTACCACTGTTTCACTTACTATCCCAGATGTTTGTGTGAGCATTGTGTTGCAGTTTGCATTAAAGTCATTTTTAAGCAGTTTTTTTTTACTATGTTGCAGGTTTAAATGTTGTTTATTCCTTTGATCATACATTTGTTCTGAGACTCCAAAGCCTGATTTCTTTTTTAATAGCAGTTGGGCTAAATCAGGTGGCGGTGGGCTTTTTTCTTTTGTTTTATCACTTAAAAAATACATTGCTATGAACATTTGTCTCTGTATGGTGCTATTAAGTTACGTAGCAGTCATCAGTTAGTGAGTGTCATTTAATTGTAGGTTTACTGGCTTTAGCTACTGGCACCAGCTAAACTAACTGTGTGTGTACAGACAGCCCTATAAAGACACAGTCAGTGGTTTCCTCAGATCAGCAGAAGTGAAGTGAGGCTGTAGTGCCCAGAATGTGTTTGTTTCCAGTTACAATGAGTTATTTTGGTCTAAGTTTCACTTCATGTACAACGCTCACCTCTGGGAGGTGAGTCTGTCTAACCTATCACACTCCGTGAAGTCGTACATAAATTAAATGTTCTGAAGGATTTTACATCACTTTGACAACCTTGACTTTCAGTCAAGAACTGAACCAAATTAACTAAGAAAAGAATATTCAATTCAAGTTTATTTATATGGTGTCAAACCACAACAACAGTCATCTCAAAGTGTTTTATAATGCAAGGCAAAGACGGGCTGGTTCTTGTATAGTGCCTTAAACAACAACATCCTCATTCACTTATTCATACAAGTATGTTTTGTCTGCACCTAAGTTCTAACATTTTCAGACATCCATACTCCAATGAATGTATCAGAGAGCGAACAGACAACCACCAAAGCTCCAATTAGTAGATGACCTGCTCTACCTCGTAAGCTACAGCCAACTCTGCAGTTTTAAGATTATTGGTAAAATAAATAAATAAATAAATAAATAATAATAATAATAAAATAAAAATAATTAAACAAAATCTTAAAGATACAGTAATTTTTGAGATTATGTAATAGAAAAAAATGATGTACTCATAACTATACAATGATTAGTGTGTGATTATGTGCTACAACAAATTGATGTGCTCATAAACTAAAAAAAAAAGAATCCATTTAAAATACACAGGAAAGAGCGCCGGTCTGTGGAAGCTGCTATGTTGTCCTGCTATTTTAAATACAGCAGCTGAGACGGACACGTTTTGCCTGATCTTGTTTTATGTATCTAGCAAGAGATCGACCACTTACAGACCTATTGTACACCTTATAAGTTTTTTTTTTTTGTTTAGCTTACTCAGTCATCAAGCCCTTTAAATACCCGGCTCTGCCACTTCCACTCAGCCTGACTGTAGACTTGGCTAA